GTGCCGAAGTTCGTGTTGATTCTGTGACTTTGCCTTCAGCTACTTACGCGAAACTGAAGCCGCAGTCGTTGGAATTTCTGAACATTAGTAATCCAAGGTTGTTTTTCTATTTATTCACCTTGAGTATGTACTATTAGAGTCATTCAGCATTCACTTTCTTTTTGTAATGTTAGAAAAGGATTTGTTTCAGGGCTGTCTTAGAAGTTGAATTGCGGAAGTTTGCTTGTTTAACGAAAAATGACGTCATTGCAGTTATGGTAGGATGTTTGCTTATATTTACTTTTGTAAATTCAACCATTTTTAAAGCACTTGCTCTTATAAACCGAGGTTTATATACATGTAAAAGCAATGACATCTTCGCTCCCCATTTGCAGTACGCCGATCAAGTACTCGAATTCTTGGTGCAAGAAGTGAAACCCAGCAATGCAGTGTGTATCATTGAATGTGATCTTAACCTGGATTTTGATGCTCCAGAAGGTTATGTGGAAAAGCCCAATCCTTTGCGGCAGCCGTCAACCTTTAAAGTTTGTTTATTGTCGCTATTTTTTCACTTCAAGTATTCTCATTAGATTTTTGAACACTCCAAAAAAACGTTTTTAGGTTCAGTTTGTTTGTAATGCCTCCTTTTGCTACTGCCGTTGTAATTTAGCCTCCTGCTCCTGCTATGAAATCTTTGCCCGTCGCCAATGGTGCACATTTCTCAGCATTCTCTGGAACTGGGCAGCGCCTTGATGGAAGGAAAAAACCTTCTTCGAACAGTTTGTGCAGTGATCAGGGTGAAGAACTGCTCAACACTCTGACTTCTCTGCCTCCAGTTGTATGCATCGAAGACTACAAACCAGGTCAAAATATATGTCTTGCTCAATATTTTCACACTTCTATACGTTTGTTTAGGGAAGTTGTCCTTTATTCGCTATGATTACAAATCACGATTTGAGACGGAGCGTGAAATGCAGGAATCGAAGCAGTCTGCAGGGAAAAAGGCAGTGCCTTTTGAAGGTTCGAGTGCCACTATAAGAAGGAGATACTGATTTTGTTCACTTTCACAATGAATACTGTACAGATATATATAATGTACCGCCAACAATGTATCGTCAATGGTGTAATGTCTGGAAC